CTCATTCAAGCGTTAAAAATTTATTCAATGCAATTAGATAAACGGCTTCTTTCTTAACAAAAAAAACTATAGGCCGGGCATGTGGATCCTATCTTCTCTTGCACTACATTCATGTCTACGTCTGCTATAGAAATTAAAATTATTATCAAGAACAACATTATTAAGAGATGTTATTGGTAATTAAGCACTTTATTAAACAAAAAAAATAAATAAATAAAAAATAAATGATATTACTAATAACTCAATTCGAAGCAATATAAATTAAAATGTTCACTAAACTACTATAATTCTGCTTCTATTAGTATAATACTTTTGTGTTAGTATTTTTCAGTAGAATACCATAGGGTCGAACTCCCGTTCCTAGGAACCCGGAACCCGATGCGGGTTCCCGTTCCTGGGAACCCAGGAACCCGGAGAGACTTGTCTCAAAACGAAAGAAAAAGTATGTCTATGAACTCTAGTGTGTTCAAAAATGCACAGAAATGAATAACTAAGTGGGTTCCCGTTCCTAGGAACCCGGAACCCGGTGCGGGTTCCCGTTCCTAGGAACTCGGGAACCCTGAGTGACTTGCTCAAAACGAAAGAAAAAGTATGTCTATGAACTCAAGTGCGTTCAAACATGCATAGAAATGAATAACCAAGTGGGTTCCCGTTCCTTGGGAACGGAACCCTTGAGGAACGGGAACCCTGACACCCCTAGTCAAATCTATTGATTGATTTGATATGAAACGCTCGACATGAACATAACTTCATACCTTCTAGAAAAACAAAAACATAGATTATGACAAATATATATATATATGATTATTACTTTTAATACCAACTAAATATTCAAAAATTTCATAAAGATGATTAAGAGTAGAATCAATATAATAATAATCAAAAGCATTTGGATAATCATCTTGGAAAGTCATCAGATATTCAAGATGTGAAATGTGTACATTGATGTTCTTGATCTAAATAAGAAATTTTTTTTTTCAAAATCATATTATATGATATTGTGATTAAATTTGTTACGCTAGATAAGAGCCAAATAACATTATTTTCCATTTTTTAATGGTTAATGAATATATTTAAGTTCGTTTGTGAATACTGGTTAATTTTCCTTTGTACTCTTTTGTGATGATTCACATCCAATCAAATGAAATATATGCAGAATAGCTAATCGATATGAAATGCAAGACTGTATATTTTTGGTACGATCAAATAATTGTTTCTATATAAATGAATGGAGAAAATTCTTCTCTTTCTGACAGTGCTCTCACTTTTCTTGAAAAATCTCATCTTAAAGAAAACGTAGATGTCAGTTTGTGACAAGCCATGTATCTAACACATGTATTGTATTTTTATTCATTCATTTGACATGTTATCTTTATCAATTTATCTATTTGTATGATTGTAAAATGATTTCTTTTTGTTTAAAAATTAATTTTATTTTCTTGTTAAAGGTGTTGTTGTTAACAGCACATGATAATGAGACATCAAATAGGTCTGTGAATTCAATAATTAATTCAAATATCGCAATAAAAATTGTACATTTAGAGAACTATAAACTGATGTTATAAATTCAAGTTTTGTACATTTTTATTCTATTCAATTCCACCATTACAGTGTGTCGCTACATATAAACCAGGCCGATTTACTTCTTCACCGTTCTGTATAATAGCTTCATAAATCATGTAATCTTTTTTGACGCTGCTGACAAGTAAACCTTGTTCGGTAATACCTTTTACTGCTGTTGACTTCGTACCATGGAAAGCGACTGGCCATTCTCCTGGACCATTACTAGAACCAAGCCAAGCTGAACCATCTTTATATTTATTGTTGACTTTGATTGCATGACGAAACCAACCAATTGGTAGATAGTATGGAAGGTCACCGCGCATTAGTTCTGCAGGTACACCCGGTTTCGTATAATCATAATTGTGTTTTGGATCGAAATCAAATGGTTGAAGTTGTAAATAAGACAAAACTAGCATCCATTGGCATTGATATTTATCTGGTTTGATATAACAAAGAATAGTATTATTTGAGAAGCCTGATCGAGCATGATTCTACAGATAAATTTATACAAGAACTTTTATTTTCATGGCAAATATATTAATAGATATAGTGCATTTTCAAAAATATAGATTCATGTAGTTAATTTTTCTAGGAAACAATACTTACATAAAAAATTAACGATTAAAAAAAAATGTAACAGAGTATGATAATGAATATGATAGGAATGCATTTCATTGTCAATAAAAAATCCGATAGTAATCAATTAAAATGTTCTATCTAAGCGACTAGTAACATGTTCAATATTACTTTACAGAACCACTACTGTTGTAAGTAAAGCCCATCGAATCCAAAATTTGTGGAGCCGAGTCCAGTCAATAGAAATATTTAGATTCGAACCCGACCTAGACCAGTCGAGTCGAGTCAGGAACCAACATGACGGACTCTAGTCGTAAGTAGTTATTAACACAAGGATACAGAATAAGTGTATAAATAATACACTACATATAATGTATATAACCTTGAAAATATTGGCAAGCTCTTCTGTTTTTGTTTTTTCAGGTGTCGTTAGAACCAAATTGACTTCAGCCTTTCGTTCACGCTTCTTTGATCTTTCAACAGATGTGATACGAACAAAATCATTTTCACAAGAAAGATCTTGAGCAACAGCATCAACGAAGGCCAACAAAAATTGTTGCATACTTTCTTCTGATCGAGCAATTTCATCGTAATTCAGATCAATAATAACAGCAAACTTGGCTGAAGTTATATGTTCACTAGCAAGTAAATGAGCACTACCTAAATCAGCTATACCAGTTGCTATACGATGCGCACTCTCTTCAAATGATAGATCTTCAGTAGTAAAACTTAATTTAGCACCAAACTGTTGCATGAATGCATCGAGTACAAGTACAAGCGTTTCTGTAGAATCTTCTTTAATTTCAATGGGTTCTCTAGTAAAATCATTTGAATTATTTGTTTCATTCTAAACTGCTCGAAAACGTGCTATAGTATTGTATGGACGATTCTCAGTAATATTAGGTGGATATTTGATATTTTTTAATATTTTCTCTTCATCATCAACTTTAAACCATTTGGGTGTCATAATCAATTTTGTTGAATCGTTTCCGATAACTATTGTTGTCACTTTAAGTTTTGGAGGTTTAAGTAATGGACCAATTCGTTCTATTTTATAACGTGCTGTTTTTGTTCTAACTATCGTATGTGAGTAAGCATGTTTTATTTCTTTATTTCGCTTACGTGATAATTCTTCATAGATTTTTTCGTAATTTTTCAATTTTAATGAGTACAACTGAATCGAGTTCAAGACAACGTTGAGAATCATTATACATTAAATGAAGTATTTTTTTACGGAGTTGACCAATATTCTTGTTGGTTATATAAATATTTTCGAGATTTTCCATTGTCGATAAAAATTGAATTAGTAATTTCTTATTAAAAAAAAAACTCTAAAACATAGATATTTTACTAAATGATTACAAAAAATTTTATTTTAAAATCATGTAAAATTTTCTAACGATATTCAACAAAAATAATATCATGTATTTTACTTACAAAGGAGGGAGGCGGATAAGGTCATTTTTCGGCCCCCAATATTTTTGCATAAAAATCGTATATTCGGAATCAGCGTTGAATTCTGAACAAAATGACGTATTTTTTTCACTAAAAAAACGACTTTCGATTTTTTCGAAAATTTTTCGCCCCTATGACCCCTCAGGAATGTCTAAAAATTTTTTTCTTCAAATTTTTGTGAAAGATACATCATTCGATTCAGAATTTCATGCCGATCACAAATATTGGGTCGAAAGTTGCTAAAAATAGAACCTTGATGAGAAAACCGTTGAATTTATGTGCAGGTGGCGCTAGCTACCTCATTGAATTTTTGTCCTTCAGGCACCCAAGCTGGGCATTTCACATGCAAAAAACCAGTCAAATACACTCAAAAGCATCTAAGCTTACAGAATATCAAATTTGGGATGTTCCAAGGCTCGAGTGTCCTATAAAAATAATGCATTTGAAGGCCCAAAACCCTTGAAAACCCTATGTATGGTTTTTGGATTTTTATATATCTCCCTTAGTGAGTGAGGTAACAATCTGAAAATTATACTACATATGCAGATTTGGATACTCTATCCAATGAGCCTATTTTAGTTTGAAAAAAAATATGCTTTTTTGGAAAATCGATCGCGGTTTTTAAAATATGCAGTTTGATAGAGCATTAAATTCTCAGTAAAATGATATGCTGCTCGAATTTTTTAAAATATTTTCTCGCAGGATTGCAGCATCTGAAAGTTGAGTGCAGAATCAATTCAGCAAAAAAGTTTGAATTTTTGAAAGTTCCATATCACTGTCCAAAACTATCAGAAAAATTCGAGCAGCATTTCATTTTACTGAGAATTTAATGCTCTATCCAACTGCATATTTTAAAAACCGCGATCGATTTTCCAAAAAAGCATATTTTTTTTCAAACTAAAATAGGCTCATTGGATAGAGTATCCAAATCTGCATATGTAGTATAATTTTCAGATTGTTACCTCACTCACTAAGGGAGATATATAAAAATCCAAAAACCATACATAGGGTTTTCAAGGGTTTTGGGCCTTCAAATGCATTATTTTTATAGGACACTCGAGCCTTGTAACATCCCAAATTTGATATTCTGTAAGCTTAGATGCTTTTGAGTGTATTTGACTGGTTTTTTGCATGTGAAATGCCCAGCTTGGGTGCCTGAAGGACAAAAATTCAATGAGGTAGCTAGCGCCACCTGCACATAAATTCAACGGTTTTCTCATCAAGGTTCTATTTTTAGCAACTTTCGACCCAATATTTGTGATCGGCATGAAATTCTGAATCGAATGATGTATCTTTCACAAAAATTTGAAGAAAAAAATTTTTAGACATTCCTGAGGGGTCATAGGGGCGAAAAATTTTCGAAAAAATCGAAAGTCGTTTTTTTAGTGAAAAAAATACGTCATTTTGTTCAGAATTCAACGCTGATTCCGAATATACGATTTTTATGCAAAAATATTGGGGGCCGAAAAATGACCTTATCCGCCTCCCTCCTTTTGCAAGTAAATTTCTATGGATGAAAAATTAGTTAATAATACTTATGTTTTCTGTTTGATGAAAACTAGAATTTATTAAGAACTATCGAAAGTTGAAATTAGATATATTATGATTAATTTTGGAAAACAAAACAAAACAAAACAAATGATTGACTATTTTATTTAGGTACAGTAGTCGAAAAGATTGTAAAAACTTTCGTATGAAATTCAATACATGAAAAGTTAAGTGGTAGTGTTTTACCGATACTCCAAAAAAAAATGATTTGACTTTACCTCTCGATTGTAGATATGATTTTTGCTTTCTTTTCAAAAATAGTCAATCCACTCAAAGAACAACTGAAAGTTAGAAGATTTGAAATAATCTATTTTTAAGTAACACCTTATCATTTATTACTTTTTCAATGATCTAAAAAGAAGAAGGAACGTTACTCAATAAAACTGGTACTGATCAAGTAATTCCAATAGGCATTCCTACCAAAACATATCGTTATTCATTTTTTAGAAGGTTCAGAACAATAACTTCCATATATAGTACTATGAAACGGGCTGAATTTTCATCGAAAGAAAAATAATGTCAACATAAAATTCAACTTTATGTATAAAAATATTTGTGTGTGTGTGTAAGAAATCTTATGTAAATAATGTCTAAAGTTTTTTCCAACAAGAAAATGATAAAATAAATAACAAGCACTAGAATATGTAAATTTCATGAAAGAATAATATTTATTGAAAGGACTTCTTTTATAATAATCATATGTAAATGTTAGATTTATTTTTGTTAAAAGCAACGAAATATTCTGAGCATCTTAAATCAAACATACTTTGTTCTATTTTCACAATATTTTTATTTGTCTTTTTCATCAAATTTTTATTTCATTGTGTCATCCATTTGTTAATCGAATTGATAATCGAAAACGCGTCTAGATCAAATATGACTGGTTTCACAGGTAACATTTAGTTATGATTCATTAGTTTTCTATCCAATCGATTGGTTACCATCTCTGTTGATAATCAACTTAGAATGTGGTTCTGCTTCTTCTCATTACACACGCTCTCAACCAGGCAAAAGGTTTAAACGACCTGGTAACCAATCGATTTTGGTAATAAACTAACTAATTATAATTAAATCTTATATATAAAGCTGATCGTCTTTAATTCAGACTCGTTTTCAATTATCGATTCATTTTGTGATATTGAAATCGACGAAAAATGGAAATTATCTAAATTCAGATGTTATCAACGATAAATAAATAGAATTATATAATCATACATAAAGTGAAGTTCTATATTTATTTTATCGATTGTAATTGAGTATGACACGTCCTAGCCATTACAATCTAATTCATTTGTTTACAATTCAAGATACACAATGATTACAGATTTACAAATGCTGTGCTTATGTAAACATCATCCGACTTATTCAAAAAATACACTTTTTGATTGGTACTATTTCATTGAGAAATTCTTTGTAGATATTCTGTGTGAATTAAGACGATGTTTTTTCATTGCAAAAATAACGGGTGCAGCAGAATAAATGCCTTCCCCCCTCAGTATTTTATCTCTAACTCTTTTTTTTCTTTCATCCAAAAGACATAATTTTATCATAGAAAGATGCACCATGAAATTCTCTACACAGTGGCCTATTTTATCTTGGCTAAGTACCGTTCATCGTACTTTAAATCGAAATGGTTTCACTTGGAAAAACTATGAGTAGTTTCTAAAAATAGTTATTTTATAGTTTTTCCTAATATCGCTTTATTTGCCATGTCTTAGTGATTTTTGTTAAAATAACATTTTAATTCTGATAATTACCGATTCAACTTAAATAGAGAAGCCTAGGCATCTCTGGAACATCGGTAAACCCAGATTGCTTCTCAACTAAAACAAACTATCAACGAAAGTTACTAAGAAATGGGCAATAAAGCGATATTAGAAAAAACTATAAAATAACTATTTTTGGAAAGTACTCATAATTTTTTCAAGTGAAACCATTTCGATGTAAAGTATGACGAACGGTATTTAGCCAAGATAAAATAGGCCACTTTGTAGAGAATTTCACGGTGCATCTTTCTATGATAAAATCATGTCTTTCGGATGAAAGCAAAAAAGAGTTAGAGATAAAATACTGAGAGGGCCATTTATTCTGCGGCATCCGTTATTTAAAAAGTGTGCCATTGAAAATAGACTATACAGATTGACTATGGCAGTCTAGTTTTATTACAAGACAAAACAATATAAAGTAGAACAGATAATCAAATGTTTACAAGCTGACAAAAGCTTATATATCAGAGATCTGCAGAGCTGTTCCATGCTACTCCGTATGCTTCATATGTCTATATCTTCTTTTACTCAGCGAGCACGTTTCAACGACACGAAATCGTTTCTTCGAATCCGACTCGAATCATGAGATGGCGTAGTGTTGCATGTACGTGCGCTAAAGACAGGAGTAGTACGAAAAAATCCCACAGATCTCTAGTATATTTATTAAAGCTTTCAAAAATCTGCATAGTTATTATACAAAATAGAATTTACAGCCGATGGAGAACTATCAAAATTTGGCACATAAATACGATAGAAAAATGAAGGTAAATTTCGTACATATGGCCATGGAAGATTCATAAAACATTGAGTTATACGACGATTTAATGAACGAAGTTGAGATACTAAAAAAACAATATCATAAAATTCAATTGATAGTTCTCCATTAATATTCGATCGACGAGCTAAAATATCAATGATTTTCAAATGAAGAATAAAGAAAAATGATTATATTTACCTTGAATATATTCAGAAAATGCATGAACAC